CTCTTACCGTTTAGCTTTATAAGAATCACAAGAGCAGGCCTCTTTCCCATGATGAGACGAACTGTCTACAGTTGCTGCAGAGGAATACAATTTGGCGAGTGCGTCGGTGTTTACTCTAGGCGAGTTACGCCGATCTTCTTCAGCCGCTCTCGCACCCCTAATAAACGCGTCGATCAGACCCTGGTCTGTCGTTCTGAATGTGTCTCTACGCATACCAAACATTTCTTATTAATATTGTATCTTGGCTTCTTGTGCTTGAGATATGTAATCATTGTCCTTACTGTTTAGCTTTATAAGAATCACAAGAGCAAGATTCTTTCCCATGTTTCAAACTGTTGATAGCTACTGCAGAGGAGTACAATTTGGCGAGCGTGTCAGTATTCGTTCTGGGCAAGTTACGTCGATCTTCATCAGCTGCTGTTGCACCTCTAATAAACGCGTCGATTACGCCTCGATCGGTTGTACAACGCTACAAGGACCAAAATATCTGTTTGAATAAACTCTCTCTCTCTCTCTATCTATATATTGTACAAAATTTATGTTCCACAATGTAGAATCCAATCGTGTATCCACAAATATACAGAAATGATATGAAAGCTGATTGTTTAATCTAAAAATTGCTTGAGATTCTTATTTCTAATATGAATTTTGGAAAACAGTAGTTAAGATTTCTCAATTCAAAGATTACTGAATAGATTGAGTCTATGCATGTTTCTTCATATCATTGTAGAGATGTACACCAGATCTATTTTTTTCTATAGCATGTATGTAAAAATAATTTGCAACCAATATCATAATATATCTTTCTATCATTTAAATAAGATAGCTCTTTAGTTGAACTTATCGCTATAAGTATCATTCATCTTTTGTTCCTCTTCAACTATTCCTGAAGCACTTAAATCTTATCTAATATAATAATAAATGAGATAACACAACACAATCTGTCGTAATAACATTTCCAAAATAGTCGTACACTGATAAATAGCTCTACATACATCTCTACAATATAAATAAACAATCACATTTTAAAATAGATACTATATAATGGTATCATTATTTATTAGTATACATTGCGAAAGACTCATATATTAAAAGTCTTTCACAATATACTAATATTCTAAAACTATTATAGACAACCATATTTAGTTTATGATTGGAATCTTAGGTTCAGAAGAATTAATAGCTAATCCGCTCGTTTTGACATTGCAGAGATATCATACCATAGAGAGAACTTTCCAATATCCTTCATTGTAATGAATACTTTATTATAATCTTAACCGATCAGCCTGGAGTCGTCGATAAAAAACGTAGACGGAAAACGTACTTTGGCAAAGTTTCTGACGTGCGGGTTCCCGGCTTCGACGAACATGCGCGTTTGCCCGGCTTCGTTCGTTTCGCAAAACACCCGCGGGGTTTCATCCCGTCTGCCGTCATCGTGTCTGCGGCGATTGATGGAGCGCGGGAAACGTACGTCGTCGACGTGTTGTTTCACCGCTGTTGCCGCCAGCGGACCGTCCTCATCCATCACAACTATGCCCTTTTCCCCGGTGGCGGTGGCGGCGTTGGTGATGCTATTCCTCTCGCGTCGACCCTCTTCGCCGTCGCTGCCACTCATGTCAGCACTACGCGTCAAATATCATATACCTGTCGCGATCGTCCGTGTCGCCAGGCAGCAATTGTAGGATGAATGATTCGCAGTCACGGTTTTCGCCACGGAATCGTGTAAACACCTACTAGACCGCGCATTCGGTCAACACTCGCAACCTCCTCTCTCAATACCTCAATATGGCGTCTCGCGTGCAATCGTCCTGTTCGACGACCATGGCTCGACTCCTTGGACACAGTGGCGTAACTGAAGTTGGCTATAAAATCGTGTCGCTGATCGGCAAAGCCGATTGGTGGTAGGTCTGTTCCTTTTAGGTGCATAATCCGCAAGGTTACGTTCCCAAATTTACTCCTTTGATTAGAGTAAGTTTGATTGACCAATCACAGAAGGGAGAAATTTTTATAATATTATAGTCAAGAACATTGACTTTATATGTACTTTACGAGAGAATTGAAAGAAAAATAAATAATTCATAATCAAAAAGCTTCCAATTTTACTGTTTAAATTGGTAAATATAACCAAAATACTTCTTGAAAGCTGCTTATCTCATTATATCGTTTTTATTGTTAAATATCTGAAGAAGAAATGTTTTTAGCTCAGATATAACGTATGTTTTCTGGCTCTGATTTTCTATAGGATAGTATAGAGTATAGGAAATGCTCGCTCCAATATACTATAGAGTTCAATAGCTTCGCTGCTATAGTTAGGTTGGGTTAGGTTAAGTTAGGAAAATTGTTCCGTCTGACATTACTGCTTATGCTCAACTTTAGACGCGAAGGTACAGATAACGCCGAGTATATACGTATTATATGTGATGCATCGGTGATGCATAGTGTATGTAAATTAATTTATATTCGCAGGTAAAGAGTACCAGAACGCGGTGAGACGACAGTGACAAGATTATCGGACTTAACCGGGGTATTATTTACGTATTATCATTTTATATAGCGATGAAAATCAATCATCGAGACGAGATGATGGCGAGACAAGATGCGACAGCAAAGCGCGATTCGTCGTAGTTTTAGAAAGACTCTCGTTTGTGTTTTTTGACAGTTATCGTCCGGGACCGCGTGTTCGTTGGCAAGAATGTTCAAGTATATCTGGACTCTGGTATGCTGGTACTTTAGGCCTTTCGTAAAATGGTTTCTGCGTCACACCACCCAAATGTGCGAACTCCAGAGGATTTGTTACGGACAGCCGTCCGGGGCGCCGCGCACATTTGCCGTCGAGGAGTCCCTTATGCAGTCGCGTAACCCGAATATTAGGACCCTCGTTGCGTACTTGAACGATATCGCCGATCAACGAAGGATAACCACAAGAACGGAGCGCAAGATTCTGGAGGACGCTATCAAGACGGTACTAGTGACCAAAAATATCAATCCCACGGCGCATCCGACCTTTGCCAAATCTTTCGGCAAGTGCGTGGAGCTGATCTGGGGTTACCGTCAGCTATGCGTTGAGTGCGAGGAGCTCAGGAAGACGTCGTACAGCACGGATAATCCAAATCATGAGCAGTTGTTGCTGAAATTATGGAATTTATTAATGCCGTACGAATCTTTGGACACTAGAGTGACCAAACAATGGCAAAAGATCGGCTTTCAAGGAGATGATCCAAAGACAGATTTTCGCGGAATGGGAATTTTAGGACTAGAGAATCTCGTTTACTTTGCTCAAGAGTATCCTAGCACAGCCACACATGTGTTGTCTCACTCTAATCATCCACGTTATGGTTATGCATTCGCTATTGTTGGTATAAATCTCACGAGCATGGCTCTGAAATTACTAAGAGATGGTAGCGCTAAGACTCACATATATAATTCTTCGAAAACTCTGCCGATGATTCGTGCCTTTCATCAGTTTTACTGTTATTTATTTTATCAATTTGATGGATTTTGGATCGAATCTAAACCTAGTAATATGATGGAATTCTCATCAATACAGGAGAAATTTGAAAACAGTATCAGAATGGCATTAGCTAATCCATCAACTGTTTTTAGGATAAATGTGGCAGTTGACAATATTTAATGCGAATGCAAATGCCTTTTACACATAAGACAAGACCAAAACAGGTATATGAATGATAAGTACAATTTTTTTGCACTAGCATATATATATACATGAAACTTATATTTAATTATATTTTTCACAATATCTCAGCTTTGTTGTGATATTACAATAGCATTTAAGTGAGTAGATAGATTTCTGTATTATATAAAGCTATTTTTTCTTTATATAGTGATATAATTGAGTTAAAACGTCTTGATGTCATATATGTTCTTATAATTTTATTGTATTTTTCGTAAATAACTATAGGTTTAGCTTTTTTTCTCAAATTTATGTAACTTTATACATTAATATGTATAAGAAAAAAGTTTTTATTTGTGAAGACAAATAGTAGACCACAACACATTGTTTAGTTTAACTGCATATCATAGATTTAGAGAGCTACTATGTATACAATACATAGTTTCTATCGATTTAAATAATTTTATTAAAGTTAAATTTATATATTTAATATTTTTGGTGGATCTATTATGTAGTATGCTATTGAAGTTTAAGCTTTAAGGCCCTCAGATGCCAAGAAATTCCATATAAAATATTATGTGTGTACTGATATACATATATATCTTCTCAAACTAATACTTTTCGTCTACTTTAATATTTGTTAATTATTTTTTCAAATAATTATGTCATTTAAAATAATTGAAAATTTGTTGATTAATCTTTATATGTGCCATTGCTACTTGTATTTATTTTAAATAATGGTTTTTTACTTTTATGTTTAGCTCTTATTCACATATATAAATAAATATTTATTATATATTTGAAAATTAAATTCTGTAGAGAAGCTTTGCAAAAATATTGGCTTTAAGGCCATTGAAAATAGAGACCTGCCACTGAATATCTTGATAATTTTATGGGCATTATCAACATTGTGCCTCATATATTTTATTCACTAATAATTCGAAGCATATTTATATATTCAGAGTATTTCTTATATATATCTAACGAAAACAGATTGAACTAAACAGATTATATAAAAAAATCAATATCAATTTTATAAATCTACAACGATTAGGTTCATATAGAACATATATATGCATTGTATGGCTAACATTTAAAAAAATGTGCATTCTTTTGAATAATTATGGAAGCACAAATGGTTGTCAGATATATTCGATATAAAAATGTGTCTTCGATAAACTTACTTATTGCTGTCATATAAGGAATTTATATTAACTTGGTTAAATGGCTTATATTTTAATTCAAAAAACGAAATCTTTTTGACGTCAGATTTCCTGCATTAAAGATATATTTCTATAAAAAATTTATACATGTAACATATCGCACTTGCTACATTCCAATTCTAAGTTCCCTTTTTTTTCTTATCACCTTCTTAATGAGATGTAATTTATTTACAAATTCTGCTCATAGAAAAAAAACTGTCCGAATAAAGAACAGCAACAATAATATCTGGAGTAGTAGAGTAATACAATATCATATATACTAATGATGGAATGTATTGTGTGTAATAGCTTGACAATAAAAGTCTTTTCTTGACAAAGCAGATTATTTATGCATTGTTACGTAACTTTTTAATATAATACTGCTTTGTCTTCTTTTTTTATTATTACAAACATTTTCTATATTACTATTTATTATGTATTTGCTCAGATATAGCTTGAATAAAAAATATATCGAATTTCTTGTGCCAGAATTAGTACAAATGTTTGTACATTAGATTATTATACATTATTACATATTCATTTTTCATTAATAATTAAAAATATTTAGAGAAATATTATCAATATATGAACTTAATTTTGTAATATAATATCACACACACACACATACACATACCAATTATATATATTTTAAATATAGTTAGATAAAATAATTGAATTTCCTAATTATTTTGATCAAATTTCTTGTAATTTAAAAGCAGAGAAACTTTTGAAGAAGACATAGAGATTTGTAAAGATATATGCATATTATTAAATTTAAAGTTATACATTTTACGTAACATATGTAATAACATCATGTACAATCAAAAACTATTTTTAATATTGTAGTTGATAATCGAAATAGAGAAACATCCATACTATATCTTTGGCAAATCAAACACAGTAGACTTATTTTTCTTTTTTCTGTGGAGTTTCAGGTTTATGTTTAAATTTAGACACGGCTGTAATAACAACTAGTATTCCAATACAAATGCTGGTTAGCTTCAATATCCATGGATTATCGTGTAGCAAGTTTGCAACCATTTGTGTGAAATTATCACTGAAAAAATATACAATCATACACATTAATTTATATACTTATGAATAAGTTAAATCTTAAAATAGCTACACGCATTATCAAACTCACAAAGGACTTTGAGGTACAGGCACTTTCTCTGCTCTTACATTTTTGTACCATTCTTTGGCAAATGATACAAGGGAATTAATATCATATCTTCCTGTATCATAACGGTACATTTTGCCATGTCTGAAGCTGTATAAAGTACAAAGTAATATGTGTTAATATCAGGGTTATTTTTATCTCTCTTTTACACACACGTGCATTTATATTTTAAATATTATTTATAAAATATTGATTTATATCTATATGTACTTACAATATAAATTGCGGAGTATCATAAACATTGAATCTCCTGGCTGTGGAAACCCCAGTTGTGGATTTATTAATAAGTGCTACATTTACTCTCTGCTTGAGCTTTGCACCGACTGTTTCCCATCTTGCAACCATACGCAAGCATTGCACACAGTCTGTACTGTAACTGATATTGGACGCAATTACAATGGATTGCTATTATTTATAAAAGAATTACTGTTAATCACAAGTAGAACTAAGACTTACAACATAACAAACCAGTCGCCAGTTGTAGCACCACTACTTGCTTGTGTTAAATGCTCAAATGTATCATCTGTAAGTTCCTTTACTGCAGGTACTTTATTTTCTGTAAACATAGTTAATATCTCTTCATCGTTTAGACGTCCTAGAAAAGAAAGATGCAATGTAAATCTATAGTACAACTATAAATTTATAAGCACACATTTGAAAAATAGAAATATATTTAGTGATACATCACAATGTATACGGGATGGTGAAACATAATGTATTGTCACGGAGCAATTAAAAATAATCAAAACATATTTATGCATAATTTATATTCCTTGTCAAATCCATACCATCGTACAGTAGAGGAAGACCATGTCGGAAAAACAATATAACCGGTTCTTTATCAGTACTATATAATTGAAGTAATTGACTATCCACAGTCTTAACAATCCATGCAGACAAGGAATCAACTAAATCTTCGCGCGATTGAATCAGTTCATTTTCATAGTTTTCGCATTCCGGACAATCTTTTCTTGCTATATGAACAGAATTGAAATCATTAGTAATCACAAGATATAATAATAATATAAAAAAATGATTTAAGATTCTGTTGTTTTGCATTATTGAAAATTTATAGTTATTAGAAGAAAAATGAAAACTATAGTATGAAACTTATGGTTTATATCTATAAAAATAGTCAAAGTAATATTATATATCTTATTAAAAAATTAACTGTAGCAAAATTTTAAATTATTGCCTAAAATAAACTATATTAAAATTGCAACAAGGAATAAAATTTTAAGGAACGTTATATAAATTAATTTCTAATATAAAAAAGATATATATGCGTAAATGATAAATTATTCGTATTATATATATATATAATATCTTAACGCCCTTTTATTGATTTATATATTATTCCGCTTTATTCTCTTGCTCTCCATCTGAAAAACATTCAGAGAAACCGAAGAAAAAAAAAACAAACTTACTAAATAGAACTATCACATATTTTTCGGTTTTTATGAGATTCAGGAGTTCTTCATCGTGAACTGTTTCAAGATTTGCAGCGTGTACGGCAGAAAAAATACATATTGCGATTAAGAACGTTAACATTGTTAATTCGCGTAAAAAGATTGATAGTACATGAAAAATGTTCATGCACCGGCAACCTGTACACGTCAAACTTGGCTCACGGAATAAATGAGAACCTAGAGAGGAAACTCTCATCTGTCACAGTTAGTCACAGTCGCCGTGTGACAGTTGGCCATATTGCAAATAACTAGTTTAATATCTAGTTGCTTTCATTTTTTTCGCGTTTGCATAACTTAAATATTTACATGCGCATAGTTGGTAGCCCTTTGATTCAATTATTAATGTTGCAACCGGAAATATCTTGTTCTTTTCCGTTCGAGACGCGAATCGGTAAGCATTATTTTACATTTAGTCTTCTTACAACATAATTTAATTATGTAAAGATGAAATTGTGTGTGCGTGTATGCGAACGTATAATTACTTTTATATACATAATTTTATGACAAATTGCTGACGAAACACGGTTTAGTAATATTGTTCACAGATTAAATAAAAGTTAATAAAATTGGAAATATAGGTACACGCGCGCATTTTATATATTAGCATGTTTACGTTTTGATGAATTAATAGATCGATAGTCCATTAAACTTTCGATACGAAAAAAGCACTGTACCAAATGATATGTAGTCAATAGATTTTGATAACCATCTCGTTCGTGTAGAATTTTGTGGATTGCTGGGAATATAAAAATGTAAAAAATGGCTTGTTCGTAGCAGCCATTTTTTATCCTTTCAATATAAAATTTTTTATTTTACAAGTCATAAAGTTTTCTAAATGAATTATACAATAATCATTCGAGTCTCTAGATGAGTAATTATATCATTATTTTAGTAATAGATATGCTCGTAAAGTTGCATATTTATATATATTGGTTGCAAAAAAGATTTTTAATTAATCTTTTTTATATTTTATAACTGATTTTTCTGGTGATATACATGTTGCTGATAAATGCAAAATCAGATAATTTGTTGTTCGTTGGAATTTTCATATTGCTTTCGAGCAACGCGAATTTAAATCGATTATAATATATTATCTCAAGCCATTCATATAATAGATTGCGTGATTTGTCTGGAATATCGCTTTTAATATAAATTTCTAAAATCACCAAAATACAATATTTTGTATAAAAATAGCAAAAGAAAATCTATGCGTACACAAAATTTACCAATATTTATAATATATTCTGTACTAAATTTATAAAATGCATCTAAATGTAAAAATATTCTGGATGATTCAAATCACCAACATTGTTTATCTATCCTTAACAACGATTTCGATGATTACAGCTCATTACTTCCCTTTACACATCGGGGAACACTTCCGGTAATCCGCGAGCATCGCGATTGTTCAGGGGCAATCTGGTGGCTATTACGTTCCTGATTGGAGGTCGGAAGTTGAAGGTTGAAAGGCATATAGCGGCATAGATAATACACACACATACACAGTCATGCAGGTACGTTGTAGCTTGAAAATTGTGCGCCGGTATGTCGGCGAACGCCGGGACGTCGGCGACTACCGCAACCCCCGTGAAGCTCCCGACGAAGGCGCGCATTCACGAGGGTCGGCAGTCGCGTGCTCCCGTTGTCACGACGAGACTGGCTGCCGTAAGAGAAGAACTATAGGAACGTAATCGCGGCTCGCGAAAAGTATTTATCAGCTCGCACGTTCCGTACCTCCGCATCAGCTTCTCGCCACGATGATGGCACGCGAGAAACCGTAACGTCGTGAGTACGTATACGAGCGTTAGATGCACGTGCAAGTAGAGTATATCTCTATTTTACCCGGCACTTTTATGATGCCCCTGAGAACGACAGTGCCGATCGACCGGCACCGCCGTAAAAACCTACGAATCGATTCTCTCACGCCAGTCGCATTACGGTTCGATTGTTTTGTAAATTTCGCTTGTTATTGACCGTAAGACAAAGTATTGATCGTCAAAGCTTCGTCGTCGAGTGACACGCATTATATATATATATATATCGAATTGCGTCCGGCAGCGAAATAAAATCTCTCTCGTGATTCGTCTCTTCCAATTTCGTCTCTTGCGAGCCGATATAAAATTTATACTTGATCGCTACGTGACATTTGGTGACAAATCCTCTCGAGTCTCCGTGATTTTGCTTGCTCGATTAAATTTTATTATTGCGCAGCTTGCCGAGTTTAAATTGAACTCTAATAACAGGATATTCTGTTTGAGGAAAAGAACATCTTTTGATGTTCTTTTAATAATGCATACGACCTGAAAAGCTAGACCGCAGATGTTATTTTAACATCCTTGTAGTTTTTCACTTGATATCTTGCATTTTTTATTCTACTGTCTTTTTGCACGGATGTTTGCGAACAAAAAAGTAAAGAATAACCACACTCGTACTTAAACACAATTGCGACTTTTTTATTCTAAAACTGATCCAGTTTTGTTATAAAATATACTTATGTTAGATTTCATTTTTTTTATTGCTGAAAAATAGCATCACTATTTTATAAAACGAAACTTATAAAACGAAAAATTTAAAAATAAAAGGTCAAATAACAAGTTGAAAAATTGCAAGATTGTTATGTGATTCATGTCATTTCTGGTTTAACTGGATATTAACTTGAACAATATAGAGAATGTGTCGTATCATCTGTATAATAGTACTATTTGCAGAGATAAACAATTCATGTTTTCTCTAAAAAATTTGTAATTTTTTTTTTATATAGTAATCTCGAATGCAATCAATGATACTCGAAAGTTTGCATTTAGGAGTCGGCTTTACGGTCAATTGTACCTCTGAGTGCATTTTCGCGGTTTATTTATGAGTTGTGGGAAGTTCGTAGCGCATCGCGCTTGTATTCATGAATTTATAAATCATGATCTAAATACACGGATCACAAAATAAAGATTGCTATTCTGTTCTATAGTCCAATAATCTGTAGTACGAGTCTTCTATTCCCGAATAGATCATTGGAGGTATTAAATTTGGACTATGGTAATATAGCCCAAATGGAATTTAGCCTATACGTCGTCTACAAATTTTTAAATTTATCTCTTTATTTATTGATGTTTTATTTTAATAACGCAAATTTTATTTTATTTAAAATTAATCCATCTATAGATTTTTATAACAAACAATCTTCTTTCTTTCTCTCTTTAAATTAAACCGTTTATAAAAATTCTTTTTAATTTATTAATGCTAAATGCATTAGTGTAATGTTAGTAAGACTGTAGCTTTAGTAATTATGTGGTAAAATGTACTTTCTTTTAAGATATTCTGTTTGACAATAACAAGACTTTTATCGATAAATAAATTTTTCCATACAAATCATGCATAACTTTTCCCATCACAAATCGAGAATTGTTCTTTTTTATTATTATATGTGTACGATTGCAGTCTAAAAACAATCAGTGGCTAATTCAGTAACGTAGATTATTAATTGTAAATTGCCTTGCTTAATAAAACATGAACATTATAGGTCACACAGTAGATTTTGCGAATTTTAACATTTTGGTAATATATTTTTGCATACATTTTATTGTATAATTCATATGTATATAATTCCAATTAAGATATAATTGTACGAACTAAACATTGATTCGGTATGTTGGATAATTTAACATTCTGTAGTTCAAGAATAGCACTTTATTTAAGAAATGTGATATGGAGATAAAAGGAAATACGCGTTTTACAGTTATTGCAGCGTAGATATCAATCTGATGTGCACGACGAAGCAATAAAATATACAATAAAAGTTATATAACGGTTGTATTCGTGTGACAGATAAAAGTGATTTATTAAACGTGATCTGAATATAAAGTCGGCGAATGTTATTTATAACGGTCCAATTTAATAAGCTTGTGCTTTTCAGTTGTACATTCTGCGTCTTCCTCTATGTTTTTAGATTCTTTTTTCTTTAAATAATAAAAATTTCAAAATATGTACATGTTATATAATTTTTCGGCATATCGGCGAATAAAAAAATGCTGTTAAAAAAACACAATATCTAGTACAACACTCGTAATTCAATTGTCAATGTTCTAATTTAAAATTATATTTATGTCTTGCTTCCTTCCATAATTATGTAAAATTAAATCATAAGCTGGAAAGCACCGAATGAATAAACGAAGCATGAAGCGGGCAGAACGGAGCCGGAAGTGAGTTCGCAATTCGTTTCTATATTGGGAAACGATATATAAAACCGAATGTCTCGCGATTACAACATTGGTGTCCCAGCATTGGCACTTCTATTACACTGTCGACTACGTGCAACGGCGGCGTGTCTCCCGAGAGAGAAGAGCAATATCCTGTTAAATCGATAACGAATGATGACAGGACCCACGTGCTGCGGCATGCGACTTGTACCAAGTCGCTCCCGTCCCTATTTTAGCATTCGATATTCAAAGTTGACTTTTTTGTAAGAAGTTCGCCTCGAATCGCTATTGTCGTGATCGTGCACAGCCGTACTTTTGTTCCATTCTTCTTTTTCTTTTTTTCAGACTGATGGGCGCGGTACGTAAATGATGGGAGATGTGGGTACATGATATTCCTGAGACGACGTACGAGCCGGAAGTCGAAGAGGACGCGAGGAAAAAGCGCGAATGTCGAGTCGTTCAGGAGGGTACGGCGTTGTGGAAGCTCCGGAAGGAGGAGTTGCAACGTCAAAAGCATCGTGAACAACGTGAGGTATGTGTCATAAATGGGCGTTCTCTGACTTAGCCACGTTGCCGCCGTTTATGTCACTTGCCCTAGAGGCAGCTACCCCTTAACATCATTGTCTCGCGCTTGCCATTGTTACTGATCGGATAAAGGTCAACCGTGAGAGAGATACGATCCCAATGTGTATTCGGTGAACCGGAACATCATTAAGGTGATGCCCAGATTTTGGAATTGATCCTTTTGCAGCGGCAAAAGCTGGATTACTCAAATGTAACGTTACGTTTGATTCAGGAAATGCTAAATCCAGAATTTTATTTTTATCACAATTTTTATCTATATCACAAGGCTTGTATTTCCGTAACGTGTAACGGAATAATGGAATAAATGACAACTGTACTTCAGGTATATTTAATTAAAGGCCGAAAACAATATTTTTTAGAAGCAAATAAATATTTAAAATGTAATCAATAATACTTAACAGAAAAGATTATCTTAAAATGATACTTTTGAAAAAAAAGTTATTTGAGAATATTGAATCACGAGAGATAGAGAATATAGATAATTTTCATGCTTATCCCTATTAGAGGTGTTTTGAAGATAGCGTTTTTATTCAATTACGTGACTGACCTAGTTGTGCTTATTTCAGTGTTTTACGCGACGTGTCGTTGAATTTGGAACGGGAAATTACGTGCAAGCGAACAGTAATAAAGCTACGAGTATCCCATTAAAGTGGATTTGCATAATCTCTGCCTAACTATCCTAAGAAACAAGCCGCAAAAGATAACCCAATAATTTATCACGGTCTCTATCGTTGCACTTTACATAAACTTCACGCTCTCATCTCTCCGTGCTTGTTACAAACTTGTTACAACAAACATTGTGTGTGTATAACCTGTTAAAGTGTGCATTGAGGTCGCGTCTTGATAGTGATTTCCGGAAGCGATTGCGAATATAAATCGCAATTGAAAATAAGATCGATGTTTGCCTCGAACTGCAAAAAAAAAAAAAAAACAATATTTACACGAACTCTGGAAAAATTTTCAAGCACCATTGAATTTCAAAACGATTTGTACGAGTTATACAAATTTTTTGTTTACATTATCTCTTCATGCTAGTCTTGTTACAGTGTTTTTTAATTTTATAACAAACGCGGAAAACGAATTTTCGAATTGTTTTTATAATTCTTTTTTTTTTTTTAATATAGCTTTACGCCAATTTTATTTTCAGCATTTAAAATCTCGCTATCCAGTCTTTATTCCCTATTTTATTTTGATATTGACGCAACATAACGATGATGCGCAATCATCACCGCAGCGGTGGTCCTAAATATTTGTAGAACGCACGCTCGTTACATTCATTACCGTCCTTTGTGAAAATAATAATTTGTATGGAATATAATGTAAAAATACGCGAGATGCAATTTGGCGTAACGCAACATTGCACACATATATTTTGTTCATCGTCCTCAATCACTCAAAATACATGTCGAAATTATGCCGATGAAAATCCCGGCGTAATTATTGCTTCGGTGATTATTTCGTATCGCGTTAATATACACACATCGACCGCATTTAAATTGTATTTACTGCATGCGGATAGGGAGATTTACTGGCACAACTGGCATGCTAATAATGACAGGCGCGGGATTATTAGCGGTCCTATCCTCTCTTATTACACGGGAATCTGGTGTAGTCGCGGTCTAGTGCAAGTGCATGCGGTCGAATGTAAGTGCATTAGCAATGTTATCAAGGAGAACCGATATGTTCAGAGTTAATCTCATCTCTACGCGAAGTTCACCGTATAAGTACACCAATGCAAGTTTTAAACATTCTAGTCTAGAAAAAGGATTAAATTACTTTCTTTCAAGAGCCATTTTTAATTTGCAGCAGCATTATATATTAGACATCGTATTTAAATATCTCGGACAAAGTCATACCTTTTTTCATTCCTTTTTTATATACATATACATAAGTCACGCAATGATCCCGTGTACGAAATTTCTGTGAAAATTATAATAGAAACTTAAGTAAAAAGTAATTTGACATTTTATTACGATATTATATGTACGCAACGAGAAATTTAATAAAAATATCTTACATGATGGCAAGATCAGCTGCGGCTGATGTAGCTTAACTTACACAGCGACTTTATATTTTTAATTTTTTTCCTTGCAGCTGCAGAAAATTCTGGCCAGTTGCTCGCCGTGGGGTAAACCAGGTGGCGGCGCGCCCTGTGCGGCGGCTCTAAGGAAGAAAAACATACCTCTGGATCCACTCGAGTTGCCGAGAAGATGTCACAGTTACGGTCAGGTAAAACGACTCGGGACAGACTGTTGTGTCTGCAGCCGTCATTTTTCTTTTTATTCGAACTATCTTGCCGCGAAACTTTGTCCCGTAAAAAGTCTGACTCGGCCGTAAGTGACGATCGCATGCACGTTACTGAAAACTTTCAGGTTTACTTATTGCTTACGCATGTCGCGCTGATGCATGCGAAAACGGCGTTACATGTGCTGTAAGATGCATTGCCGCGTTTTTAATGCTTTCGCTCTATGCATCAGCTCTTGAGCCGATAATTTTCTGGAAGCAAAATGGGAGTTAAATAGTTTGAGAGAATTCTGAACTTAAGCTGGCCGTGTCGCGCAAGCAAACAGATCTATTTGTCTCCATGGATTTTTTCAATATGCAAATTAAGATGAGACAGAAAAAGGGATAAAAGTCACAGTATAATTTCGCAAAGCAAAATTTTTTTCATATCTAGATTAATTAAATCCTTGCCGAAAAAATATTTGAAAAAAGTGAACCTATTTTCTGTAGAAAAATTATTATAGAAATTATACGCGACTGCGAAGATTATGCATCTTTAATTCCAACGCGCCTCGGTTGCCGAGCACAGTCGAGGTTACGTACAAATCGAGTTATTAAATCCGTGCACGTGTATAAACATGTGTGATCATGTATGAAAACACACAAACTCCAGGAAATAATATCACGCAACACTGTGTACTGCACAAAATTTTCAAGCAGCTTACACGTTGTGATACAATATTACGTTGAAATACATATTAGATTAGAATATTCCCTGTCTGACATTAGCTTTAAAGAGTAGCTGCAAAGTAGCGACAATTCCACTTTATTTGATTCATTTCTGTCAGAAATATATTGATGACTTTTTATTATTGATTCTTTTCTTCCCTATGTCTTTCTTTTATTAAAAGTTAATATTTAATAACAAATATATATCACATATATTAATACGAGGCAAATTCCATTACTGCAAATATACGTTGCGGTTAATACATTATTACTTTAATAATTATAAAAAATATAAATTCTCTCTGTCAATTTCTAGACTTTTAATTGATCAAAATATAAAGTTGAATGACATTCCACTAATGTTTCAATAATAATTGTTTAAGCTGAATTTTTTATTGTGAAAATTATGTATTTAGCAACGCATCCATAAATAAGGCGTGATTTAGTAAATATTTGCAGAATCTCGAGGATCTCTCTTAGAGCACAATTATAATTCATCTACATTATTATCTACCTCAAACTTACGTAAGTAACGATCATTATTGTGCAGCATTCTCTCTGAAAGTACGGCGAGATTTTCTACCAGCTCGATGTTTTCAATGTTCATATCCATCATCGGAATAAGAGTTTAATACAATTACACTTAGAATGATTATTCTTAATGCATCAAATGATGAATTTGCGCGAATTATATTATAAATTTATTTACTTTCTCTCAGCCCGAGACAAATGATGATACATTTTCCAGAATTAAACTTTACAAATTTACTTATATGTAATAATGTGTAAATCTTTATCCATCTTTTTCACAGCTTATGTGTATTATAAACTATATAACATTATTAAGATTTAAAATTTCTTATTTCGATTTTTTCGTGAAATAAGCATTTTTAGAGTGTGTCATCGGATAATAATATATTTCATTGTTTACTTAAAAAAATTCCAAAGAATTTTACTTTTTAAACATTTTATTAAATACTTTTTAATATTTTATTTATTTACTATTTAATATTTTCGACTCAATACACTGCAAATTTTTTCAGTGTATTTACATTAAATCAATATCCTTTCTCGTTTCTATTGTGTGTTTAACGTATATAATAATAACATGCAGAAATATTAAATCACAATAAGAAATAGACTACTCAGACATTCATAATCAAATTTTTATTGTGATATACCACTGTATCATATACATAATGATACAAATCATTGAGAAACAAATTTCCTTATAAATTGGATGAATCTCGCTTTAATTTTGGTGTGAAACACAAATCTGAATTCTCATTTTGGCAAAGAGATATAATTTTTGTAAATTTTAAATTAAAAAATTTCTTTAATTTCTCTAATTTAAATTTTAATTTAGCGAACACCAAGTTATTAAAATTGCGCGAATTAACCGTGTTTGAGCAAATTTTTTTCGTTTTACGTAAACATAAAGAAGATCGAACAATGAGAGTAAAAACGAGAGATTTGCGATGAAACCAGATATTATTTTTAGGATAGTAGTAGTAATAGCTGTGCAATTTATTTTGTTCTGAAAGGGATAACGACGGATCGCACAATCTGTTCCAAATTGAGGAAAAGATCTTATTTCATGTTATCTTGGTGCTTAACAAAATTATTGCTGTAAAATATAAGAGAGATAGAAATTATCGCTATGTTAGGTCGGTAACTATTATCAACTATTTTCCCAATTAATGTATGTGTATGTATAATAACTTGATTCTTGCTTTATATTGCGAATTGTTTCTGAAATTACCATATTTTGGTAATTGTTGCAATTTTTCTGATATTTTTTAATCATTTTCAATGCATTCATAAAACTGTTCTCTCTCTCTTTTTTAATCGCTTATATAAAATATTTTTTTTGTTTTTACATTAGAGACAAAGTTTTAAAAATTATTCGTAATAGAACTGCGTGTTATACATGCGTGAATAAAGAGTGTAATTATATCCTGCAATTATACTCGAACTGTTTTTGAATCTCCATATCTTAAAAGTTAACAACTCTTATTTATATATTATGCTCATATATTACATATATATATATATATACAACATAGGTGATATGCATAGGTACGCATCACACTTTAAATGTGTCTTTTTCATTTTCTTGTATATATCTTATAAAATCAAATTTATTGAAATAAAAATACATACCTAAACATTCAAAGAAAAGTATCTTTTTCGATTCCTACATATCTCCTCGATATTATGCAATCTGGTATGTACCAGACGAATATGTGTACAATCTATTGCACCATCAATAGAAGAAAGGCCTATAGCTCCAGGACCATATCCAATATATATATATATATATATATATATATATATATATATATATATATATATATATATATATATATATATATATATATATATATATATATATATATATATATATATATATATATATATATATATATATATATATATATATATATATATATATATATATATTGCTCATATATTACATATATATATATTATATATATATATATATATATATATATATATATATATAGATGGACAATATAGATATAGACAGAATTAATCTCTGACAGAACAAAGCAAAAATGGAATACATGGAATTCACCTCGCTTGTTGTTTTGATTAAACGAGCTACGTATTTCCATGCAAATTTCCATACCTTTTCTTTACCGCGACATGAATGTACGACCGTATACAATTTTTTTGCTCGGTATACACATTTATCAAAAAGATGAAAGATGCATTTATATAAATAATGTAATCTCTGCATATACATTTGACGTATGTATATCTGTAAAAGCTTATCACTTACTGGTCACTAATTTTAGAAATTGTCATTACATTTCAAATTAAATCATGAATTGAGATGAATTATTATTATCGAGATATTTGTTTTATCAGACAGCGAAATGCACTTTATTACTCATATGTAACTACGATATTTGCCGCATTTGCTTCAATTTTAAAATTATTTTAGACGATCTATATATTCAGGACAGAAATTCTATAATTATAATTTTTATGCATTGTATAATATACAAAACATTTGACAAAGTAAGATATATACATGTATGTACTTATGTATACCGAAAAAAAAAATTGTTAACTTGACTAAATCCGTTCAACTAATTACCATTTCTTTAATTGAGATATTTAAGTATTTAAGTCAAATATACGTCATGTTAGATTTAATATGTCGTATTTGACTTAAATATATAAATATTTTAATTTAAAAATGGTAATTAGTTGAACGGATTTAATCAAGTTAACAATTTTTTTTTCAGTGTACTTATGTACAAAATATATATCAGGATACATAGTCTGTTTGACATATAGTCTGTTTTGCAAATATATTTTTGTCTTAAATTTTCTCGTTAATTATCGTCTAAAGTGAACTTAAATGAATGCTTTAGTTAATATTTCAATGCACATTTCTCAAGGCATTTTTTCCGACGAATAAAAGCAAGAAAGCTTGCATCATTTTAGGCGTATAATTGGAAATAGAACGGTGGCAGTCTCTATCGGTTCGTTTTGCTTTTATAGTACTTGCCTTAAATATTTCCTTTCACATAATTGGAGAGAGCTTTCGTTTGCCTGTGTGTATCGCCAATTAGATCTACATCTTTATACGCTTACGATCGTTATAACCGCGTAATATCGTTAGTACGCAAATTTATCGCTGCACAAGAGGCATACTTCCATAAAATTTTGTACAAAGGTAAATTACTTACATACAATTACTCCCGATTCTCGACGACACAATCTACTTCGCAGACATGTTGCATTGCGAATAGTATAATGGTGTCGGAAGTCACCTGTATTATTGCCTTGAATATTGCAAAAGCAGCACGTATGGGGTTTCCGGCTTCTATGTCGGAGAGATGGATGAAGAGATGAAGAACTAGAGATGTTAAGTCGATCCTGTCATCGACATTAAGGATCAAAGTTGGATCGAGAAATCACGACGAAGTTTCCAACAAGATTTACTTTAGCTGGGGATTAATAAATTGATTTCCTTTGTCTATATGATAAATAAAGTTATAATCTGAACAGTCAAATTATAATGCGGTTTTATTAGTTTGCATTATTGATGCAATTAAAAGAGTCATCCCGAGACTTTCTGTAAAAAATTGCAAAAGATGTTATGATAAATTTATATATATGTATGATAGAATAGAGATCATATATTTGTCTGTATGATATGGTGGATGGAGTCTGGATAATTTAATTATAAGTATGCTTGTGAGAATATTTCTTGAATTTTAGTTTTTTGAAAAATTATC